ACCCCTCACACTTCGATTGCTTGTCACGTGGTTTCTGTTGTGAGAATTCGCGACGCCATAGCTCGGAATGACGTCGAGGAGATGGGCCTTGTCTTCTTGCATGCTCTTCCCTCGCCGGACGGACCAGCCGCGTCACCGCCGGACCCACGCATTTCTCACCTCTTGGACGAGTATGGAGACGTCTTCAAGGCTCCCACCGGAACGGTTCCGGAACGGCCCATACGTCACGGGATCGCTCTCGAGGCTGGTGTCGTCCCTCCGCGTGGATGTATCTACTGCATGAGCGAAGAGGAACTCGAGGTGCTTCGCACACAACTTGATGACCTTCTCGACAAGGGCTGAATTCGCCCAAGTTGTTCGCCTTATGGTGCCCCTGTTCTCTTGGTCCGGAAGAAGAACAAGGATCTACGGTTATGCATTGACTATCGCAAACTTAACGCACAAACCATAAACCCTCTCCCTCGGATTGATGATCTCCTTAAGTGGTTAGGCGGCGAGACGTACTTCTCGAAGTTGGACTTGAAGTCGGGTTACCACCAGATTGAAATCCAGCCTCAAGATCGGTACAAAACCGCGTTCAAGACGCGGTACGGGCATTTTGAGTGGGTTGTCATGCCATTTGGCCTCACCAATGCCCCCGCGACTTTCCAAGCAGCTATGAGGAACGAGTTTCGCGACTTGCTCGATCGCAGCGTCCTCATCTACCTCGATGACATCTTGGTTTATAGTAGGACATTGGACGAGCACATCGTACACCTTCACGCTGTTTTGGATCGTTTGCGACTGGCCAAGTGCAAAGCGAATCGCGACAAGTGCGAGTTCTCGCCAAGCAGGAGCTTGAGTACTTGGGTCACTATGTCACGTCGAAAGGCATTCGTCCCTTAGCGGACAAGATCCAAGCCATCGTGGATTGGACGGAACCCCATTGCACGACGGATGTACGCTCTTTCATGGGTTTGGATGGATATTATCAGCGATTCGTCGAGTCATACTCGAAGGTGGCCGCTCCTTTGTCGAGACTTCAGTCCCCAAAGGTGCCCTTCGAGTTCGACGACGCAGCTCGTGGCGCGTTCACTACGTTGAAGGCAGCAATGCAAGCCGCACCTGCCCTCCGTATATACGACCCCACCCTTCCCACCCAAGTGACTACGGACGCTTCGGGATACGGTATTGGTGCGGTGTTGGAACAGTGTCACGAGGACGGTTGGCATCCGGTCGAATATTTCTCCCAAAAGGTGCCTCTCGTCAACTCTCGACGACGCTAGGAAGAAAGAGCTACTCGCGTTCGTCACCGTTCTCAAATGGTGGCGCCACTTTCTTCTCGGCCGTCGGTGTTTTAAATGGAATACGGGCAACAATCCGTTGACCTTTTATGAAACGCAGGATACTGTCACTAGCACGATCGGTCGATGGATGTATTACATCGACCAGTTCGACTTTGACCCGTGCCACATTCCCGGTCCCGCCAATCGAGTTGCGGACGCCCTCTCACGACGGCCCGATTTTTGTGCCATTGTGACCACGACATTTCGTCAAAGGCTACAAGTCCGATCCGACTTACTCTACGCTTTACACGAAGCTTTCATCGGATCACCCGCCGGCTAGCCATTATCGGATTTCTGACGGATTCCTTCTCCTTCACACGAGAGGAAAGGACTTGTTAGTTGTGCCCCAAGATTGCATCTTACGGACTCGTCTTCTCGGCAAATTCCATTACGCACGACTTTCGACACACCTTGGCGTAAACTGCACATTAGCACGCCTCCGCCAGCGTTTTCACTGGCCCGACGTCCTTCACGACGTCACAAGGTACATCGAGTCATGTGCAGTTTGGCACCGTAACAAGGGTCGATCTCGAGTCCCCTTCGGCGAACTGAAACCGTTGCCGATTCCTCGGGCACCTCGCCTCTCCATTGCTATGGACGTGACAGGCTCGTTCCCCCGCGATCGCCTCGGCCATGACGGTATTCTCACGGTCGATGACCATTTGAGCAAGTATGCTCGCTTTCTTCCTTGCAAGTATCATGCTGCAGCACCTGAGCTCGCACGACTCTTGCACACCGGTTGGATTACCAACCAGGGTGTTCCGGAAGACGTAGTGAGCGACCGAGATACTCGCTTCGTGTCGGCCTTTTGGACTTTCCTTATGGCTGAGTTCGACACGACAATGAAGCCGAGCTCGGCTCGGCACCCGCAGACGGATGGCCAGACGGAGCGAGCACACCAGACTGCTCAGATGATGTTGCGTACGCTCATCCGTCCTGACCAGAAAGATTGGGTTGACCGGCTTCCCGACATCGAGTTCGCCTATAACACTTCGGTGCACCCGACGATCTGCGTCACACCATTTGAATTACATCATGGTGGAGAGAAAGCACGGATCTTCGCTGATCTCCTTCTACCACGGGCCGCCGACATAGACGTCCCTTGCTCTCCCGCTTCCGTTCGGAAGCACCGGGACTTGCTGATCAAAGCCCGCGCGAATATGCAAAAGGCTCAAATCCGCATGCAGCAGCAAGCTCACCGACGTCGACTTAAATGTCCTTTCCGCGAGGGAGACCTTGTTTGGGTCCTCTCCGAGGAATTTGCGCTCGAGCAGGACGTTTCGCGCAAACTCCTTCCGAAATGGTTCGGACCATGGGAAGTTACTTCTGCCGTTGGAGACGACCCCTCAGGTCCTTCCTTTGTGGGCAACATTCCTCCGCACCTTCCAGTGCATCGGGTCTTCCACGCGTCGAAGCTGGCCATCTACACGCCACCTTCCACCAACGAGTTTCCCGGCCGACGATGACAGGATCCGCCTTCTATGGACGGACATCAGGAAGTCGACCGAGTCATCACGCACCGCAAGTATGGCAACAAGCCAATGCAGTTCAAAGTCACATTCAAGCAATGTGCGCCGGACGACACTTGGTGGATCTCTAGTCACATTCAAGTATGGCAACCCTTACCTTCGCCGACTATGAGAAGCGACGCCTTGCCAAGGAAGCAGTTCGTCCCGCCCGACCCACCCCGGTATCAACTCCGCCCTCGCAGGTAGCTCGGTCTTTTAAGAGGGGGAGTGTGTTACATCTTCGACGCCACACGGGTCCTACCGGACCCGACTTAGGGCCTAGGGGACACTGTAGGGCCTAAAGGCCCGGACTTGGGGTACAGCGGGCCATAAAGACCACGTTTTTGGACCAGACCCGACGGGTAGGCCCAAACGACATTAGCGTTTGGGCCTGGCGGCGCTCCTGAGGCTGCCGCCCGCCGGTCTGATCTGAACCGACGATCTCGACGGTTCAGGTGACGGCCAGGCCTCGCAGCATTGAGGCTGGCCTCGTTTCACCGGTACTAAAGACCGGTCCAGCCTCATTCTGAGGCATCGAGCCACTGGCATGCTGCATCAGCGCCAGTGCGTATCGGTTGAGACAGAGCGCTATTCTTAGCGCAGGAGCGGAGCAGCAGCAGCAGCGCGAGCTAGCGCAGCAGTAGCGCTGAGAAGAGGAGCCAGGCAGCGGGCAGCCATAGCCGATCTCGGCTTCCGTCAGTTGCAGCAGGCCAGGTACTCGGGACTGAGGTCTTCTCCTCCCTCCACGGTCCCTGGCTCCCCTCTTCCTCACCTCTCTCCTCCTCTGTTCTCTTCTTCTTCTTCTCCTCTTCAGACTTCTTCTTCTTCTTCTTCTTCTTCAGACTGGAGACTTGATACTAGTTGGACAGAGAACAGTGTTGGAACTTTGGTGGTAAGAGGCTGTGGTACTTACCGGATTCGAGACTTGGAGATTGTTGGGGTCGATACTCGGCAGCATCACAGATTGGACACCGGTTATATTAGGACTCTGTACCTCCGACATTGGTGACTTATTGTCCACGACATCTTGATCTTGTTCGATGACATTTTGGACTACCATATCGGTGACCTACTGGATTCTATCTCGGTGACATCTGGCGCAACCTACATCTCCCACCTCCTCCGTCTCTCCTCCCACGTTTCATCTGTGTATGTGTGTACGGGGCCTGAGCATCGTCCATGATTGGCTCAGACCCCACCATCTCACGATTGTTTGTGTGTGGAGTGATATCTGTGTGAGTCAGTCCATTTATCAGACTTCCGCTGCATACATGCTCATCCTGTATTGGTCGATCTCTTGGTTCTGCCCATACTTGAAGTACTCACGAGTATGCAACACACTCTGTGTGTGAGTGGCAAGAGAATCGTCAGACAACCAAGTTCATAACACATGAGTGGAAATGTACCCTTCCAAACCCCTCGACTCCCTTCACCCGAATATAACACCCGGTCATTATAGCTGTATTTGGCACAACTTTCAGCCCAGATATGGCGATGATTACCGGGCGTTCAATTCGGGTGAAGTCGGTAGTCACTGTTTATACCCCCTGAACCACCCTGGATGACCCATCGCCAACATCGAAGTTAAGATCGGATTCTGACTGCTTAGTCCAAGCGCAGTCCTTGTCTGAAGTCTTTTTTAATTTTTTTTGGGATCCTTGCCTCGTTTTTGACCCATCTGGTTTTGCCGGGTGACCCCCCCTCTGCCCAACTGGCCCAGGCGTGCCTGGTGGGGTGTGCCGGGCCGGGCCACAGCCCAGCAGAGTTCTTTTCTTCACAAGGGGCCATATTCCTCTGTTATCTATTGGCAAAGCTCGCTACTGTTGCTTCATTTCTTGGTTTCGCCCTTCACGGATTGCCCCCAACCCTGACCCCCCAACCCCCCCCGTTTCTTTTCTTCTTAATCTCCTCCTCCACTTCCTTTAAAAAAAGGGCGACGGCCTTGTGATATCATCATATCGAACTGACTGGCGCCAGATTATTCAGATTAATTCAGTTATGTACATGCGTGTATCTTACTTTATTCAAGCTGATCAATGACAACGTAATGGAGTCTGAAAAGAACCAACGACACCTTCAGATATATTGTACTGTGTTGTACATGGCGGTTGCTTCTCTTGCTGAAAGAATGGTTTTGATGTTTCTTCTGATGGCTTTATGTTCCCAGCCTTCTCAAGCACTGCTCTAGAAGAGGTCGGCCATCCCCCCACAGCCATTGCGCTGAAGAATCCTACCAACGAAATTGTATACGATGAACAAGTCCATGAGAGACTCCCACCAGGAGATGCCAGCAAGCGTGCGTTTGCATACTTTGTCCTCACGGGGGGACGGTTTGTGTATGCTTCGGCTCTGCGTTTGGCTGTGCTGAAGTTGGTTCTGAGTATGTCGGCAAGCAGAGATGTGATGGCTCTTGCCTCGCTGGAAGTCGACCTCGGCAAAATCGAACCCGGTCAGACTGTGACTGTCAAGTGGCGCGGGAAGCCTGTGTTCATTCGCAGACGGACACCACCGGAGGTTGCCCTGGCCGACAGTGTGAGCCTGAATGAGCTGAGGCATCCAGAGCCGGACTCAGCACGTGTGAAGAATCCAGAGTGGCTTGTTGTGATTGGGGTGTGCACACATCTTGGTTGCATTCCACTTCCGAATGCTGGAGATTACGGAGGATGGTTCTGTCCCTGCCATGGCTCACATTATGACATCTCAGGCCGGATCCGGAAAGGCCCGGCCCCACTGAACCTGGAAGTGCCAGAGTACAAGTTCTTGGATGAAAACAAGCTTCTGGTTGGCTAGACGCTATGCACACTGGAGGCGCCGAAAGTCATTGGAGGGATGAAATGATGTGGTGTGTTACGGAGTTGACACTGTTGTTGCCGCCACCCAGGTATGGAGGAGTAAGGAACAGAGGGGGAAACGAGAGGAGGGGGAGGAGGAAATGTTGTTACCCCAGCCACTTAAAAACTTGGTGCGAAGTACCTACTCATCGGGAGTTAGTCTGTGAATGGTGCAGGCAGAGATCCAAGAAAGTTGAACTGAAGTGACGAGTGCCACCTGGAGCTGAAGTTGGCGGGGGGGGGGGGGGGGAGTACTTCTGCAGATCACAGACAAAGTGGCTGTAGGCTGGCAGCAAGCATGAGATGTGTATCGGGAGGGTGAAAAGTGGGATACAGGGGTAAGAGCTAGAGAGAGAGAGGGAGAGAGAGAGAGAGAGACAGACAGACAGACAGACAGACAGACAGACAGACAGACAGACAGACTTGTCATTGCGCTCAAGAGTGGGTGTTTCTTTTGTGTGTGTATATGGTTCTCCGTCTGGACGAGGGAGTTGTTTGAAAAAGACAACAGGAAGAGGGGAGGAGGAGCAGAGGGAGGCAGTCTTCCGGTAGCTTGCGTATGAAAACCCGGAGTGTTTGAAAAAGACAACAGGAAGAGGGGAGGAGGAGCAGAGGGAGGCAGACTGCCGGGAGCTTGCGCATGAAAACCCGGAGATTCAGAGACCCTGCACTTCTAAATTGTAATGTTGCCCATCTTTCATTTCGGCCCCCAAACTGGATAGGATTTCCACAACTTTACTGTTCATTTGGGGTGTGGACACGTCAGTGGTTGTCCGCGACTTCTTTGTGAACGACTTCCAAACTACCCAGGCATTGTGGTATATATATATAAGCTCAAAAGTGCACGAGAGGAGTTCCATATGCTACCGAGAGGATTTCCACACAAGTTTGCTGCTCTTGTGGGGTGTGAGAGCGATCAGTTTATCATCCACTTCTTTAAGACAACCAGACTATGCAGGCATCATCGTGGTACATAAGCTGGAATCTCAGGGGATCATTTCCCAGTCGCTGCTAGCTCACATGTGCGATTGACCAAAGGGAGTGGTAGCTCACCTTTGTCTGCTGCTTTTGAACTTGATTCCGACTTTCGACACAGCTCTTTTGGAGTTTTTTTAGGTGAGGTGATCTGGAAAGTATGTTTTTTTAACTTTTTTTAAAATCAAACACAAATATCTGACTATTTCACAGGATTCTCCAATACTTGTGACTAGATGGCACGCATGATGGAATCGGTGAGCAGTCATTCCTCTTCATCTCTTGCTTCCTACTTCTGACTTGACAGGTATTTTGCAGTTTTTTCGGGCGGTTTGAAAAGGGTGGTGTGAACCAGGTGTATATATTTATGTATTTGACAGCATTGACCACCTTAGGGCATACTCACACTACGACTGGTTTAAGTATTTCTCGATGGAATTGAGGCCAGATACATGCGTGTATTGCCGTGAATGCGGTCAGATACATGAGATACTGCTAGTGTGAGTACACCCTTAGATTTGATGCCGAACGTCGTTTCTCCACACGGAGTAGTTTGTGAGTGGGTATAGTGACTGTGGTTGCATTCATTTCAGTGGCCTTTTTGGCAAGCATCTGTAGTCAGCGAGTGTTATTCGGACTCCATGGCACTCTGTGATGGGTTTTTGCTTCTCTGAATCCTGTGAGCAAGTTGAACTGCACCGTTGATTTCCTTGGCCTCGATACGAGCAGCAAAGACGAGAGGGAGAAACCGATGGTCGTGCTGAGCTTATCGTGTCTGCTGTTGTTGACCCTCTGCATCATCTCACTCAGGGCATACTCACTCTAGGACTTGTGCTACTAAGCTCTGGTGGACGTGATTGCGATCAGATTCACCCAAGATTGGCCCTAATTGCAGTCAGCTACATTTAGAAAAGTGTGAGTGTGAGTATGCGTTGAGTCATCTGTTTGCTGTTTTTCGCAGCCATGCGAGCAGACAGATGTTTTCACCTCAGCTTCTCAGTCTTTCTGGATCGTATTTGGCAGTTGTCTATCTTCCTACTGAATGTTGACAGCCTACCTCCTAGCAAGCATTGAGAACATCCTGCCACTGTGTCTTGTGCTCACGAGAATGGAAGGGATAACAAGTGCCCTTTCTCTCTTTCACACACACTCTCCACCACTTTTCCCAGGGCGAAATGCAACCTGGGCAGAGTGTCTAGGTCCAACCTGCTGACGAGTAGGTGAAAATCCGACGAAACAGTCTGTCCGTGCTTCTTTCTGTAGAGTTGTATACAGAGTATATGACACACAAACACACTCACGCGGTATGGTCCGTACAAGTCTCTGTTTCCATACGTACTTCCGATGACTGTCTCCTGTGTACTCGTCCACACCACGTACTTATGGCATGCATGTTCTCTTTGTAAGGAGGTGCTGGAATTGCAGTGTGTACAAAAACAGTCTGCGCTTTTCCTGTGGAGTTGCATACAGTGACCATGAATCACAGAAACACACACGCACGCACACACACGCACACACACACACACACACACACACACACACAGACACACACACACACACACACACACACACACACACACACACACATTCACAACGCACACGCACACACACTCGGCTAGGATCGGGCCCGTACTAGCGAGCTATTCTCTCTTTTGTGGTTGGATATGTCTTGTTGGTTTTGTTGATTATACACAGCCTACTTCTTTGCCCTGCTTTAGAGCATGGGCTGTTTGGATGTTTACGGGTGGCCACGAGGTCTCTATGGGGGGAATGTCTTTTTTGTGGGCCGGCGTGGAAGGCTTTCCCAGTTTTCTCGGACCCTTCGCAGGGGGGTTCGGTGCGTTCTTCCTGGAGGAGTCTTCTGTTGCAGGCAGGTAAGTTGCCTCTTATCTTCTTCCTCCTCTTTGGCAGTGAAGACGCGAGTGTGTAGTTTGAGATGAATGTCGGGAATGGCAATGCTTTTATATTTGTTCTTTTTTGGTAAATGAGTTTTTGGTTTTGTGGGCCAATGCGGAAGGCTCTCCAAGTTTTTTCGGACCTTTGAGGGGGTCGGGTCGGTGCTTTCTTGCTGGAGTAGTCTTCCGTCTTAGGTAAGTTGCCTTCTGCCATCCATCCTATTATGGTTTGAAATATATATGTATACATACGTATATGTGCAAGTGTGCGGCTTTGGCGGCAGACGGATGTGTGGGCACTTGGCGCTGAACCACACAAACATGGCCAACCTTGCATTTCCTACTGTATTGCTTATCTGTACTTTTTCATTATGGATGGCTTGTGATGATTTGTGAAGGGAATGAGAGAGAGGATCTGGGGTCTTTTAAAACAACACTCACCCACTATAACATACACACAGACACTATAACACACACACACGCACACACACACACGTCTTCTGTTTCCATATTTGTGATGACAGTCTCCTGTCTACGCGTCTACACCACCTTCTTACGACATCTCCTCTCTGCAAGGAGGGGGCTGGAACGACTGCAATTGGCATGCCTCTGTGCCCCTAGCATATGGAAGCCATGTTGCCTCTGATAGCTCTCTATACTGCAATATTCAATGTTGTGACTGTAACCGGGAGGATTTGATGTGGTGCTTCAACCGGCCACACCCAAACTGGTCTTGCCTAATCATTGTGGGTGCCCACCAACCATAGGCAATACCTGCTCCATTCCTGTTTCTGTGCAACCTGACCCATGAGTGGCCGCTGTCTTTCATGCAGTCTCTGGCACTGTTGTACTAGCTGAGTCCTTTCTCCTTTCTCTGCCTTTCTCCCTTCCTGCCCTCCTTTTCTTTCCTTTCCTTTTCCTTTTCTTTTCTCCCCTCGCTACTCTCCGTGCAGAACTGTTCAAAGCATACAATAGACCATCACTAAGAGAACAGACCAAATAGAAGGTACAAGTGCATTGAAAAGCAAATGGGTGTGTAGGCATCCTGGGCTCAATTTGCACAAATGGGACAGGGGCGGCCTTACACCAAGCAAATATATGTAGTAGTCAAGGGGCTCTCACCAAAACACATCCCAATCAT